ATACAGTATCAACGCCATGGACTGATTACAACCAAGCTTCGACTTGCGGTAATCCAATGTTTTATTGCACCTGCTCATCATAAGTATTATTTCCATAATACCTATATAACTTTGCTTGCTCGTCTAAACTTTGAATAAAACATATTTTAATCAATTATTCTATTAATAAATAATACATCAAAGAAAAACTTTTTTAGTAAGATTTGTAAGTAGTGAAGGTAATCATGGCGAACAAAAATAATCGTTTTTTTAATAGATGTTTCTATTTTCTTGCGAATGTACACAAGAAGAATATATATCTACACCCACACTCTCATAATCTCGATGATTCTTAGCAATTTCAATTGAATAAAAATGTCATTTAACATTTGTTCGTTCAAAACTATTATATATATTTGTTTACACAAAAAAAAAGCATGCGCATGCAAGTAAAGAAAAAGCTGAATAGCATTATTAAACTTTGAAAGATCAATACAGAAAAAAAAGATCATTCACATATCATTGAATCTTATAATAATAAATAAAGTTATGATAAAAAAAGAAGAACTTGATGATCAATAACATCAAATAATCATTGATAAACACGCTAGAGATAAAAAAAGATTGAAAAATTTCTATATATTTTAATTTAAAACAATTACTTGAAGATTATTATTTGATGTTCGTAATGGTGAATGTTTCGATAGTGAACTACTTTGATTTAATTCATTTGATGCTAGTAATTTTTCTAATTGTTCAAGATAAATTTTCACCATACGTTTCATAGAATGTAATCGATTTAATATTAATTTTAAATCAGTTGTTAAACGTATTTGATCATCAGATATAGGTGATAATGGTCGATCACTAACAAGAACTATACGTTCATTTAATATTTCAAGATCATCGTGAATACGAATAAAACGATGAAGTTTAGTACGATTTATAGTTTGATTCATTTCATTATCATCAACTGGTTCTAACGAATGTGCTAATAATTCAAGATGATCTAATTGACAACTAATTTCTAATACTTCATGTTTTAAATTTGGATTTATCTATTAGAAATTAGAAATATTTTATTTAATAAAATAAAATAATAAATAAAACTTACTTTTATTTCACAACGTTGATAAGTTGATTTATTTGATAGTAATTGAACTTTATCTTGAATTGATTGAAGACGATGTTCAATAAGAATCCATTCATTTGAATTATCATTAAAATTAATTGCTAACTCATTTGTTGATTTCAAAAGTGTTTGAAATTCATCTAAATATATATACTATGAAATTCTTTTTTGTTGTTAAATTTTCTTACTTAATCGTTGATTTGTATCATGTTTTGAATGACTGGTTCGAGATACTAAAATAAATGAAGTATTTCTATAAGATTCGCATGTAAAGCACACAAATATCATTTACGATATTGAACTCTAACTAAGATTTTGTATAGAAAAACCCATACCCATACCCTTAGATATTTTTAGCTCATATCTTATAAGAACGTATTTAAACGATTGATTTATTTACATGAATGATCATTTTGATTTGTGATTTGTTGAGCGGCTTGTTCAAGATTATCTAATTGTCGTTTAAAATCTTTCCATTGTTGACGATTTCGAGTTAATTCTTCATCTTTATTACTAGCTAAGGTTTGTAAACGTGACCATTTATTCATAATATCTATTACAAAAAAAGGAAATGATTAAATATTCGAAATAAATAAAATCTTACCAAGTACTGATGGATCATAATTAAGATCTTGTATTAAATATGTACCTAATTCTTGTCGAATTTGAGGAATTAATTCCTGCAAGGCATCAATTTTTCGATGAGTAGATATTAATGTTCGATTCTAAATAAATAGCATTATATTTCATTTTATAAAATAAAAAATCTTACATAACTAAATTCATTAGGTAGATGTTCAATTTGAATACCAACGGGTGTGGGTGAATAAAGATTTTCTTCTTTAGCGCGAATATCACCATTAATTTGAAGAAGAATATCTTCGAAATCAGCTAATAATTCATCTGTACGTTGACGACGATCTTCAGATTCAATTGAATCATATGAACGAAGTAAACGATGTCGTGGACGAATAGAACGAACTGGAGAATGAACTGGAGAGCGAACTGGAGAACGTGCTGGAGAACGAGCTGCAGATCGAGGTCCTAGAATTTAAAATTGATATGAAAATTACAAAATTATATTTTTACATACTTGACGAAGATGGTGAAGCTAAACGTTTATGAATTGGTGAAACACGTGGTGGCGAACTAATTAACTCCAAATGACGCTAAAAATAAAAATAATATTATTTAATATCAAAAGAGATTTTATCTTTCAACTCTCCTACAGAAAAAAGTACTTTTTAGATACAGTACGTGGAATTACTCCGCCTGATCTCATTTTAAAAAAACAAATTCTTACGTTATTTGAATTAATTAATTTTTGTTTTATTGTTTTAATACGTTTTGTTAAATTTATTAATTGTTGACAGCATTTTGTTAATTCATTCATATTAATTGTTAAACCACGAGCATCAACAGTTTTATTAAGTAAATAATTAGCACATGTTTGAACATATTCAATTTTAGCTAATTTTTCATGTATTTCACGATCGATATCCTAAAAAGATTTAACAATAACAAATCAATTAAAACTCAAAATTTACATTTAATTGTTGGAGTTTATCATTTAATGGTGCTTCTGATAAATGTTCAAGATTTGTTAAGACAACTTCAAGATCTGTTAACCAAACTGCTAATGAATCTTGTGTTAATTGAAAATCACCATGAATACTTAACATATATTTAAGCTAAATAAAATTCGAAATAATTTTATTTTCAAATAAAATATATAGAATTCTATACATTCTTCATTGATTCATGAACAGTTTCATTTAATCCTTCCCAACGACGATT